TGTCCCTGGTGCGTGCAGCTAGATGCCAGCTTGTCGTGCAGCATCTTTGCAAGTGCAGCACCCGAGTCGCAATCGTTAGTCTACAAGCATAGTACAGCTCGAGGAATCAAGCGTATCATATGTAATCCACTTATGCCACAATGGGTGGGTGAGACGCCATGGAACCGATTGTCTAGAGAACACTAGTGTCCACCAGTACCAGCCAAGCCAGACTCGGCAAAGCATTATCAGCCCATGCAGACAAAATATTGACCTTAACTATGAATATATTATTCATGGGCTTTGAAATATTGTTGCTACTGTACTCCATGCCTTACATATCCGCTCACTGCGGATTCGATGGTGGCCCTGGAAATCAGAAGCCCTATTACATAGACTAACAGTTGTGCTCAACACCGAGGTGTGCTACGCTACCACTGTGTATGCTTCCCACAAATTCATAATGAATGCCTCCATCAACCAGCTCTTTAGTGCGGTTTCCACATACTGTCTGTGTAGGGAGCTCCTCACTCTGCTGTAGTGTGAGACTTTAATTCCCATTTTACTCAAGCACGGCTGACTATCCCCAGGCTGACATTTTAGTCGTACGTTGTTCGTCTCTGGGACGTTATGACATTTCTCTCTGTTATTTCATGATGGCCAGTCCCGCATGCCCATACTTCATATCTAGGCAAAGAAGTAAAGTATGCAACGCTGATCGCCGTATGGCCAATGGCTGAGTTATTGCATTCAAAATCCCAAGTAATGTTGAGGAGAATGCGATTATATCTAGTAGGCACGTTAAAACATAGAGAAGGCGAAACACGACGCACTGCCTGTATTTGTGCGATTCGCCGTATGGCGAATGGCTGAGTTATACAAGGGGCATAAGCATAAAGCATTACGCACTGCTGCAGTCAAATGAAAACCAAAGAGTAGGCGAAGCCAGAAAGCTATTAATATACGGGCTACCGACATTTCGACTGGGAAAATGGCGGACGTTGCGGTGCTCCTTACCGCAAGCTCCATCTGCAGTGCAGAAATATAGTGCCGAGCCAAGTTTCTGGCCACATACGTAGGGAATGGAGAGAACGCTAGGGTAGTGTAAGTAAGACTTTCCTTCGATAGCCACAGTGAAATAATAGTAGCCAGAACTGACTCAGGGGTTTAGGCCAAACGACATATTGACGCTTACAACCTGCTCGGCAGAAGTAGAAACCTTTTGCCAGTGCAGTGCTATGTTTCTGGCAACATACGTAGGGAATGGAGAGAACGCTAGGGTAGTGTGAAACGTAAGCAACACTTTCCTTCGATTGCCACAGTGAAATAATAGTAGCCAGAACTGACTCAGGGGTTTAGGCCAAACGACAAATTGACGCTTACAACCTGAGTGAAATAATAGTAGCCAGAACTGACTCAGGGGTTTAGGCCAAACGACAAATTGACGCTTACAACCTGCTCGGCAGAAGTAGATACCTTTTGCCGGCTGTGAATACCAATTGGCCTCCTACATTCGTGCTGTGCCAAAATGAATCATTCGACATAATATTCAAATGCATATATGCATATAACAAATGACTTCACATACCCGCACTCGATGTTTTTTACGTATGTTTCTTTGTCGGCACCGGCACTCACAGTCTGTACATGAAACAATATACGCGAAATCACTGATACTTTGGAAAACTGTTCCTGTCGACACCTCGCAGAAGTAGATACCTTTTGCCGGCTGTGAATACCAATTGGCCTCCTACATTCGTGCTGTACCAGAATGAATCACTCGACATAAAATTCAAAAGCATCGATATGCATATAACAAATGACTTCACATACCCGCACTCGATGTTTTTACATATGTTTCTTTGTCGGCACAGGCACTCACAGTCTGTACATGAAACCATATACGCCAAATCATTGATACTTTGGAAAACTGTTCATGTCGACACCTCAAAGTGTCCCACAAACTCGGCTGTTCAATATCAGGTTTCTGGAGGTTTTAGGACGGCTTGTACGAACAACGCAAACATGCTAAGCGCATAGGGGAAGCAAAACTCCTCTTATGCATCCAACATGTTGGCACTCTTCGTACAAGGTCAAATTTTGGTGTGGCAGGTTTGGCAACTCCATACCACATAGAGAACGGAAGTACGTCTTCACGAATCGATGCAATGGATTTGACCGAGTTAGTGCCCTTTCTGGATACGGGAATGACATTCTGCAGAGTTCGGTACAACGAACTATGTGCAACACT